CAGCAGGAAGGAGCCCAGGAGGCCATAGACACAATGACTTCTTGGGGAGGAGCGGGAGGGAAACATAGGCCTTACCAGCAGCCATGGGCTAACCTTGAGCTCTGGACCTGGGAAGTCTTGGGGTGATGCCCAAACTGGGCTGACGGCTTTTGTTTCTCTCTCTCTGGCCTAGGGAGCCAGACAGCACCTACTTTGACCTTCCCCAGCCAAGTAGGGGGAATAATGAGGAAGTGGGCAGCGCAGAAGCCAGCATGGATGTGTTCCACCTGCAGGGCATGACCACATCTGTCATGGTAAGTGGGGCTTTCTCCACAGGGCACTGGGGGTGGGAGCGTCAATGTGGCCTGTCCTATCTTGAGTCTGGCAGAACCAGAGAGCTGGCTCTTATGTGTGTGGCTTTCCTGTGAGTTAATAAAGACCCTTCAAATTGCAAAGAAGGAAATGTACCATCTCGCGTACTTGTGAGCCCACAGGTGGGGTTCGATTCAAGCATGACTAGATCAGGGAAGGAAGGACCTCAGGCAAGGCTGGATTCGGGTATAGCAAAGGTTTCAAGAATGGCTGGATCTCGGTGTTGGAAGGACTTTGGGCGTGGCTGGGTCCAGATGCTCCACAGCTGCCTTGCTCTTCTCCTGGGGTGGCTTTGTTCTTAGACAGCCTCTCCCCTCGGAAAAGGTCTCAGGTTTCCAACAGTGTCCTCCACCTTGGTGGCTTGCCTCTTGTGGTCTGAATACAGTCCTGTGTCCGTCCTGGCCTGTTCCCATCCCCTGGAACAGGGTCAGGATGAAATGGAGTAGTGCAAACTCTCCCTAGCACAGGGACTGAGGTATGGGGAGGAAGCCCTGGAGGAAGATTGTGACACTGTTCCCAAAAGCATGGGATTGGCAGGGGCAGTGAGGCCCCCTGCACCAGGTCTCAGTGAGTTCTCCGCCCCTCCTAGGAGAGGGGAGGAGGTGCCACCCTGCAGCGTCAGACCCTGCAGGGTGTTCCTGGCTAGAATGCAGGGCCATGCTGACTGGTGGGGGCCACATCTCTGCCTCTCTCTCCAGCCTCCAATTGCTGGCCCTGCATGTGCCAGAGAGTGGATGGCAGGTGGGCAGCTCACACAGGCAGGCATAGGGACCCTGGCCCTGGGAATCTGGCCAGACTTGTGATCTCCAGGTCTTCCCCTGCACCCTACACTTGGGCCCTGCTCAGTTCTGCTCCCAAGGCTGGGTGCCAAGGGCCCAGGGATTCCTCAGTTGGGGACTTGTTGCAGCAGCTTGGCTAAGTGCAAAGGAAAGACAGCCCAAATCAAGTGGATATTGGAAACAGAGGGCACCACGCCTCCCCTACATATGCCCAGCACCCTGCAGGAGTCTATGTTGGGTGGCTGGGGTGGGGGAGGCTACACTGCAAACCCCAGAGACCAGGAGGGCACTGAGGCCTGGCCCCTCTCTTCCCTGCAGCCCCCATTCCAGAAGTTAGAGCCCTCACCCACCCCTATGTCCAAGGCATATAGGAGTGGGGGTGATCCAACCCCCTTGGGCATCTTGTGACTAATGGGGGCATGAGAATAAACAGCATGAATTGGTGAGGACAAGGAGGCAGGAGAGTACATGCCCCGCCCCCCCCATTCTGGTTAAATCATGAATGCTGTCTGGTGCAGGGCTCCCTGGCCGTTTTGGGGCTGGGCGAAGGCAGCTTCAGGAGTTAAGATTCTGGCAAGAGGTGAACCTCCCTTGAAGGCCATTCCTCTGAAGAGCCCCTCTGGTTGGATCCAAGGGATCCGACTGCCTGCCCTTGGCCTTCTGCCCCTGCTTGGGAACCCATCCCAGCAGGCAGCACCTGTAATGTTCCCATTTTATAGGTGAGAAATCAAGGCAGAGGCTGGAATGGGATGGCCTGGGCTGGGATGGGTAGTGGACCACAGTGAGAAGGTGAAAGTACCTCCTCTCCTCTCTCCTTTCAGAACTATCCCTGTTCTGCCGACTGATCTCGGGGCTTGAGGGTTTGACACACCCTCTCTCTAGTCCCCTCTGTCTGTGCAGGGACAAAAGCTGGACTTCAGGCTCCGGGGGGGAGAGCCCCTGAACAAAGACTCCTATTCCACTTGTCTCCTGAGTTCTGGAAGCTCTCCCTCACCCCCTGGAACCTAACAGACCCCATCAGGAGCCAGAAGAGACAGTTCTAGGCTTCTGTGGGTGGGACATGCTCGACCACCCTGGCGGAGGAGGCCTGGTGCCAAGCATGTCTGGTCGGGGTGCTCTGGAGCCCTCACCTGCTGAGACATGCTGCTCCCCAGCCGTGGGGTAACCAGGGTGGGGCCTTGCACCTCTGCAAACAAGCGGAATCTGTCAGGTCACAACACGCCTCATAGTAAAAGCCAGATATGAAATTCCTGGGTGCACAACTTAGTTCACAGAGGTGGGACTCCCTGGAACCAAGATCGGGCCTGGTTGGGGAAGGAGAGCTCGGCCCGTCCCACATGCCTCATCCTGACCCCAATGTCCAGCCCTCTCATAAGAGCAGCCACTGACCTAAGAGATTGGCATATCCCATCTTTGGCCCTCACAGCAGCCTCAGGGACAAAGATAGAGGCTCAGGGCCAGTCTGTGGCATGGTAGTTAAGGCACCGGATCCTACAAGGCCATCTGCACAACTCGTCTCGGACCCAGCAGCTTAACCAGCTCAGCACAGGAGCATGTGTGCCCAAAATCCCAAAGGAGTGAGAAGTCGAACAGAAAGGACTGGAACATGGCCATCGGCATTGGGGGATGCTTTCTCACTTTCTAGGTATCTCTCTGTCGCTCTCTAGCGGATGCACGTGCCCTCTGGCAAAATTTAAAAAGGAAAAAAATGGAGGCTCAGAGAATAAGGACAACTGGCCACTGCAGGCAGGCTGGCTACAGAGCCCCAGTGCTTAGCTGCTTGGAGAATGATCTCCTGCTGGCTGAGACCAGGGGGCTGAGCAGGGCGTGGGGCTGAATCAGGGGTGTTGCTTTAGAGTCCAACCAGGGGCCTAGGGATGAAGCTGTGCTGCCGAGGGCTAGGGCTGGACCCAGCTGGTGATGATACTGGGGTGGGGGCTCCAGGTGTTCCCATGGAAACTGCTGCCTCGGGTTCTGGGGCTTGGGTTCTAGTCTTGCCTCCAGGCTGGTGACCTGGTGTAAGAAACACTAACCAGGCTGGGCCTTGGGTTGGAGGGGCAGTTATGGGGTCAGATGTTCCCAAAGCTCCTGTCAACCCTGAGTCCTCAGCCAGGACAAAGGCTGCTGGCACATGTCTCCTAGCACACATATCCCCCACAGACCTCCCCACACATATGGTAGCTGGTGTTAAGGAGAATACAAAGCCACTCCACACTGGGATGTGGGGCTTGTCTAACAAAGGGACGTGGTTTAGGCTGTTACAGTCCTTGATTGGATATGACATTTGTCCTCTGTGTTGGTGCCTTTTGTGTCTGGGGATCTTGAGTCTCCCGGCAGCTGCACGGGGAGGTTGGTTTCCTTCAGATGCAGGGTGAGTGGTGTCCACCGGCTGCAGGCAGAAGGCAGAACATCATGAACCCCTTGGGGTGCCCTTAGCCACTGCCTGAATGGTTGACGGGAGACAGTAAATGTGGTGGGTCCTTGCTTATAAAGCTGGAGTGACAGAGAGTATGGGGATCAGAGCGGAGAGTGCTTTGGGGCATGGCACAGCCTCCTGGTGTCAGGGCCAGCTTTCCCAGCCCCATGGGGCTTGGCCTGCCTTCCTGCCACACTGGCCCTGGCTGGGAAACTGAGATAATTGGTTAAGGAGGAGCTGGGAGAGTCCAAGGGACGTTGAGAGAGTCCCAGGTCATTGATATCTTGAGGGGAGGGACATGGGCTCTGTGTGGCCACAACAGGAAGCAGGCCCTATGGTAGCTATGGCTATGTGTCTGAGAGAGCCCAGAGAGTCCAGGAGGCCAAGTTTCCTGGATTCAGAACTCATCCCTGTCCTTTGTAGTCAGACAACACTTAGAGAGTTATTTAACCCTCTGGGTCTTGGTTTTCCCATCTGTTAAATGGAGCTATGGAGAGGATCGAAGTTCTCCAGGGTTTTGAAGATCACAGATGGTACTGGCAGTAGGGAGCATATGACAAACACTGGATGTGATGCTGGGGTAGGGGAGGCCCAGGCTTAAGATGGCTGTTTGGCAGTGGCCCTGTAGCCTAATGGTAAAAGGGAGCCAGATGCCACATGGACAACTGTAGTTTGAAGCCTGGCTCTGGTAGCTTGAAAAATAACACCAGGCATGTATGCCTGAATCCCGATGGGATGGGGAAATGGAGGAGAATGGATTACAGCTTGAGCAAGCCCTATTGAGTGGTACTTTCTCTTACTCTGTCTCTGCATCTGTCTCTTGCGATTAAAAAGAGGAATAGAGAGCTATTTCCTCAGAGAGCCCCAGGAGCTGCTCCAGCCAGCAGCCCTGGAGTCGGCCTGGGGAGAACCCAATGTCCCAGGGCCTCTGCTGATTCTTGCCCACCTTGGTTTCTGGGCAGGGAGCTCCTTGCCCTCGGTGGGGGAGAGCAGGGAGCTTTACTTCTGGCTGTCCTTGCCAACCCCAGGTGTCTCATAGCGACCTTGTTCAAAAATTGGTCCCTAGGGACCAGAAGTTAGCATAATGGCTGTCGCTGGACTCCCACGTAGTCAACGGTGGTTTGCGTCCCAGACCTGGTGGCTTAAAGGCTGCTGGCACATGTCTCCTAGCACGCATATCCCCCACAGACCTCCCCACACATATGGTAGCTGGTGCTAAGGAGAATATGAAGCCGGGCGATTGTGCGTGCATGCCCAAGATCCCAAGAGGAGAATGGAGGAGAAGGGATTGCAGTGTGGCCATCCCTCCTGGGGGGTGATTTCTCACTTTCTATCTCTCTGTCTCTCTCTGTCTGTCTGGCGAGTGCACGCGCCCTATAGCAAAAACCTCTCAAAAAAAAAAAAAATTGGTCCCTGTTCTGCAAAAGGAGAGCCAAGAAAAGCCAGCAAGCCTGGGAGGCTGGGCATGGAGCCAAGGCTAAAGGCCGTGGGTGGCAGTGATCAAGAATGGCCCAGGCTCTGCCCTCCTGGGGCCCCAGCAGGTGCAGTGACAAAGGAGAAGGCTTGAGGGTGCTCAGGTTGTTGTTAGGGTGGGGTCTGCCCTGACCTGGGAGATACCTACATGCTGCCTGGGAGCAATATAGGGCAGATGAAGGTCTTGGACTGAGCTTGAACAGGGCACCAGGAGGCAGCAGGGCGCCAATCCCAATTCTCTTCCAAGGCTCCGCATTGCTGTGCCTGGCTTTGA